GTTAGGGTCTTGGTGTGTGTGTGGTTAGGGTCTTGGTGTGTGTGTGGTTAGGGTCTTGGTGTGTGTGTGGTTAGGGTCTTGGTGTGTGTGTGGTTAGGGTCTTGGTGTGTGTGTGGTTAGGGTCTTGGTGCGTGTGTGGTTAGGGTCTTGGTGTGTGTGTGGTTAGGGTCTTGGTGCGTGTGTGGTTAGGGTCTTGGTGTGTGTGTGGTTAGGGTCTTGGTGTGTGTGTGGTTAGGGTCTTGGTGTGTGTGTGGTTAGGGTCTTGGTGTGTGTGTGGTTAGGGTCTTGGTGTGTGTGTGGTTAGGGTCTTGGTGCGTGTGTGGTTAGGGTCTTGGTGGTGTGTGGTTAGGGTCTTGGTGGTGTGTTTAGGGTCTTGGTGGTGCGTATGGTTAGGGTCTTGGTGTGTGTGTGGTTAGGGTCTTGCTGTGTGTGTGGTTATGGTCTTGGTGTGTGTGTGGTTAGGGTCTTGGTGCGTATGGTTAGGGTCTTGGTGCGTGTGTGGTTAGGGTCTTGGTGCGCGTGTGTTTAGGGTCTTGGTGTGTGTGTGGTTAGGGTCTTGGTGCGTATGGTCAGGGTCTTGGTGTGTGTGTGGTTAGGGTCTTGGTGTGTGTGTGGTTAGGGTCTTGGTGTGTGTGTGGTTAGGGTCTTGGTGCGTGTGTGGTTAGGGTCTTGGTGCGCGTGTGTTTAGGGTCTTGGTGGTGTGTGGTTAGGGTCTTGGTGTGCGTGTGGTTAGGGTCTTGGTGTGCGTGTGGTTAGGGTCTTGGCGCGTGTGTGGTTAGGGTCTTGGTGGTGTGTGGTTAGGGTCTTGGTGTGTGTGTGTGGTTAGGGTCTTGGTGTGTGTGTGTGGTTAGGGTCTTGGTGTGTGTGTGTGGTTAGGGTCTTGGTATGTGTGTGTTTAGGGTCTTGGTGTGTGTGTGTTTAGCGTCTTGGTGTGTGTGTGGTTAGGGTCTTGGTGTGTGTGTGATTTGGGTCTTGGTGGTGCGTGGTTAGGGTCTTGGTGGTGCGTGTGGCTGGGCTCTTGGTCGTGCGTGTGGCTGGGCTCCTGGTGGCGCGTGTGGCTGTGTTTCCCCGTGCATGCTGCCGGGCTGGGACGCACGGGTGGACGTGTGTGGAAAGGAAAGCAGATGCAGATTGCGGGGATAGATGTAGGTCAGTGTGAGCTGGGAGGCAGTGCAGGGCGGACGGGCTGGCTGGAAGACGCACAGAGCGGAGACTCTGGCGACGCGGGCCGACTCTGCCAAGGCGCGGGCGGACGCACGCTGGGCTGAGATGCGTGCCAAGCTGAGACGTGGGGGCCCGACCGGCAAAGTCCGTGAACACAAAAGGGGAATGCAGGCCAAACCGGTGCGGGACAAAAAAACGCAACCATCTGCAGGGCTGGCTTTCTGATCCAGAGAGATGCAGGCAGATATTAAACCGCGTTGTGTTTTGATGTGGCTGGGTGGCCCAAAGGTCAGAGCACTGAGTCGGTGCTATTGAGATCCTGGGTTTGAGTCAGGATGTCGGCTGCCGAACGGTTGATTAAACCAGGCCCTCAAAGTTGTGCGGAGATTTTAATGGTCTCAGATTGAATTTCGATTTAAAGCTTTCGTGACTGCAGGGATTCATCTTCTTGGTTTTTTCGGTAAAGTCACATTCTATGGTCTCAGATTGGTTGCTTATGACCGCTAGCGCACAAACGCATGTCATTTTTTTTCTTTTTCCGCCTCCGGCTGCTTAGAAGTTTCGGTTTCTTATACATGCTGTAAGTAATCTTTGCTGGCCACCGCAAGGTGTGCTCCACGTGTTGGGTGAAGGTGTCCTTTCGAAGGGCCCTCTGGAGTAGTTCTGCGACGTCCTCTTCCGGACTCATTTCATTGTTGTTACAGGACGGTGTAGTGTTACCCCACAGAGTTTTGAATGGGGATGCCTTCATCCAATGACACGACGCCAAGAGCACAATTGTAATATACGGTTGAACTAAATAATAACTTTATTTCAGTGAAAGATGCAGCCAATATACGGTTGGCTACGTACGGTGCGAAAGAAATTCAACATACACACGAAACCATGGAACACTTACGAGGATGAACGGTGCACGACATAGCAAACGAGACGCACGATAATAATGATCGTCACAATTGCATCGGCTTCTTCTTTTTCTTTCATATGGCATGTAAGCTACAGTTTGTGTAGATGTCATAGTTGAATGTCAAGGTCCTTCAACTGATCCAAGGCAGCAGTAGACTCTGTACGGATTGCAGCAATACCGCCAGGGTATGCATGGGTCACGCGCTCGTTGGTGATGCGTTTGAAGCTTTGGCCTTTACCACAGTCGCAGTTTGGCGATTCTTTTATTTTTCCGTCGATGGAACACCGTGTACTCACATCTCCCGTGCTGCGTCCGAGCCGCGGTTCAGCGTGGGGTCCACAGCCATCGTGAGAGAGAGAATCCCGGCACTTGGACGGTCGGGTCCTCAACGATGTTTTTTGTTTGCCACTTTCGTAGCCCGTCCACCGCCCTTGAGACCGTCGAGTGCCGGCTGACTGAAAATGTGCAGCGCTGGGGGGTTTTACTTTAGCCGGGCGTGACCCCTGTGCCCGTTGCCGTGAACTCCTGAAAATACCGCACGCTCCGCGCTCGGTTCGAGTGAGCTGGAGCCGAGCGTGGCAACGTTCACGCCACATGATTGTGGCCGGGATTAAGGGTGTGTCAAGGTACATTTCCCAATGTACTACATTGCTTTGTGCTTCATCATCATCATCATCGTCGTCATCAAAACAAGTCAGAAGTGATTTCCTGCCCAGATGAGCATTCAGGCCACAATGCTCATCTCCTGTTTATAGCCCCTGGGCCCGGGCGGTGTAAATTACACATTCCTATGTTGGGGGCCGAGTCTTATCCACGGGACAAACGCACTGGTTGACTTTCCCGCAAAGTGGGCGGCCATTCAAATGTCACGTGAGACTGAAAATGTGCAGTGGGTTTATAAAGGTGGTGTGTGGCTTTAGAAGGATAAGGGGAGATCTCGGAGAGCGGGAGCACGAGAGAGAGAGGAGGAGGAGGGGGACGTAGGGGCTGGTTCGGGCAGCATCACAAGCTTCAATGCTTCCGTGGCCAGGCAAGCCCAGCAGGGCCTACCGTGGCAGAGTCAGCTGCTTGTCCTTACGTGGAGGATGATAGAACTTCTCTCCATTTCCGCCGTGACCAACATGCCGGATGCCTCCTTATAAATAGCGAGGAAAGACCACACACGGCGGAGAAGATGGTGGAAACGATTCAGTTCCTTTTCAGGAATATATTGTCGTGAGCGCCAAAGATGGCGAGATGAAGAGCGGTCCGAGGTGCGTTTTTGCCGATCGTATCGACGCGCGGTCTAAGGGCGGTTTCTCTTCGGAGAGCGCGCAAGGCCGCAGTAATGCGCGTGGCGGGTCGTGCCGTGCGACGGCGGAGCGTCGCGTAACAGGGCGGGCCGTCGAGCAGGCCGAGCGTGGCGGGTCGCGCTCCCTTTAGCGGTTTCGCTCGCTGTCGCCCTCATTTGTTTGTGCCGGGTACGAGAGTCCCTTTTAGGGAGGGGTCCCTCCAAATCTCCCCCGCGCGATTGTTCTACATTGTTGTTATTATTTAAGAACCCCAGAAGGGAAAGTAGATTTCTAAGAGGGGGGCGGGGGGAGGAAAACAACAAGTCCCAGAGCGATACACCCTCAAAATAAGGGACCGACCGAGGGAGGTGGGGCGTCTGGGATTGCTGCCCTACCTGTTGGGGGTACCCGTGGGGGTACCGGTTGGGGGTAACGGTTGGGGATAACGGTTGGGGATAACAGTTGGGGGTAACGATCGGGAGCACATTATTTACAAGGGAGTGGGAAACGTTGGAGGGAAGAGGGAGAAATAATGTCACCGAACAGAACCGGAAATGAAATCACGTGAATGCGACGTCCACATTCGTCATTCTTGTTTTCTCCCAGGGGCGCCACCGTCCCATGACTGTTTGATGGAAAGTTCCGCATCATGAAATCTTTTAGTCTATTGATTCTTTCACCCACGGGTTGTTTGTTGTTGTGCACCTTTTCAGAATTGGTTGTTATCGTATAAATAGATGTGGAGGTCCTTTCACTCGGCGTCGCTCGGAGGGAAATCAAACAATCTTGGGATGGTTGCTACGTGTGTGTGTGTGCGTGTGCGTGCGTGGGTACGTGCGGGTATGGGATTCGCCTTTCACTTTCATCCGTCTCATAATGCTTGTTGGTTGTGCATTATCTAAAACGTATTTGATTGTCGTACGTTTTTCATATTCTGTACTTGAGCTGCATATCACGGCAATTCAAACATACCTTGTCGGAAGTCGGGGGTTGTTGCCGTTAATGTTTCCCGCGCGGTTGTCGTGTCGGCTCTGCTGGAGGTAGGGAAGCGTTGGCAGTGAGGTGTGGTGGTGGTGACATCTACGGCTTTGTCTATGATGACACCTTGTGGCGGCGGTGGTGGTGGTGGTGGGGAGCGGTAGTGTAGCGGTCAGCGCGCTTTGCTACGAACCCTGCGAGCCGAGTTCGATTCCGCTCACGGCCAACACCAGAGACGATTATCTGAACCGGTCCTGAGCCTCCCCTAGGTCGTCCCAGCCTCAAATGAGTACTGTACCTGGTGCGATGTTTAAACATCGCCACTGGGGAGACAAAGGCGGTCGGGCGTGGTGGTGCCGGCCACCCACACCTCTCGTGTGCCGTGCCGGCCTTCATAGGTGCTGCTCGCTAACAGCACTTGCTCCAACAGTCTGTTAAGGCTACACGGGGGGCGGGGGGGGGATACAGGTCTTTGTGCTTGTTTGTGGGGAGCGGTAGTGCGGTGGTTGGCGCGCTGCGCTACGAACCCGGCGGCCCAAGTGTGGTGACCATATGAACCGGTTCAGGGCCTCCCTCCTAGGTCGAAATGAGTACTTGCTGCGTGGTGTGTGGACATCGCCACGAGTGGGCGGGCGGTGGTGACGAACGACGATGATGAGCGCGGTGTCCTCTCTTGGCAGGAATGGGCGAGCAGGTGGGGCTGCCTCCCCACCGCGGCGCACCCGGCCTCCTGGAGGCGCCGGGCGGCGGGGACGCGACGGCCGCCGAGCGCAAGCTGGAGGCCCTGACGCGGCAGATCGAGTTGGAGATGGAGGCGCAGACGAAGGCCGAGTACTTTGGTGAGTCCGCGGGGGCCGTGTGTGGGCACTCGCGTGCGTCGGTGAAAACCGATTGCCGCCAGCGGTGTTTGTTACGACCGCCGCCGCCATCGCGACCGTTGATATCGCTACGGGCCACGAAAATCATCACCTCCTGCATTGCTCATTGCTGTCACCACTGCCATTACCACCGCCACTACCACCACCATGACCACCACCGTTACTACCACCGTTACTACCACCATCATGATCTTCACCACCATGACCACCACCGTCACTACTACCATCATGATCACCACCAAAATATCCCCCATATAGCCTTTGACACACTTTTTGAGCAAGTGCTGTTAATGAGCACCTTTTGAAGCACACGGGGGATGAAGCGTGGACAGCACCACGCCCGGCCGCCTTTGGCTCACTAGTGGCGGTGTTTACACATCGAACCAGGTACGCACAATCGCTTATACCACTGCCATCATCAACATAATCAGCACCAACATAATCAGCACTACTTTAACACGTAGGCTTTTTGCGACCAATATTATCCATAATCATCCATTTTTGGGTTAGATCGCGTAAATATGAATGTGTCGTTAAACCCTCCACCACCCGACACAGCCAATTAGTAAGGTTTGTCACAACTAGCCTGATGAAGCTAGTTGTAATTATTGGCGAACCGTCGTACTCTGATTGTAAATGTTGTGGATTTGCTCTCCAACACACCGGTGTGCTGTACTAGTAACGAATTGGCCACGTTCTGTTTACGTGACAAACCTTACTAATTGGCTGTGGCGGGTTTAACAACATTTACGCCATCTAACCCAAAAAACCTCCATTAAGGATAATCAGCAGCACCAACATTATTCTCAACCATAAATCACCATTACGCTCTCTGCCAGTGCAGCTCATCGCATCTTGATGCAACACTTGAATGGGACCACACAGATATTTCGCCAATCGACACAGTCTGCGATCTGGTCAAAGTGCCGTCAGTAATATCATCGTAATCCGTTACTCGTTGCTGGATGCTCTCGCTGTGAATGCCACAGTATTCCAAACACTGTTGCCACAATGAGACCCTCTGATTCAGCCGAAACGATCATAATTATTGGCACATTAAGCGCTTGTACACGTGGACAAGTTTAAGTTGTTTGGCTGTGCCGGGCGTTGGTAGGGTCTCAAGCACAATGTTATGATTCATAAATATCAATGATGAATCGTAACATTGCCAGAGAAATCCTCCATTGATATTTTTCTCCAAATTCCAAAGGCAGCAGTGACTGCAGTCCAGGTTGTGCCCCTATGGCACGGTTGGCTACGTACGGTGCGAAAGAACTTGAACAAACATACATACATACGTGAGTGCTTCGTCCAATACGCTCCTCCTGTTGAGTCATAATAATTTACACTTTTAAGGCGCATTTCATCTGTAGATCCCAATGCGCCCAATATATATGATCCATAAAACATTGAAGATTCATCAACAACAAACACGTTTAATCACGTGAAAAACTTCAACTGGCTAAATTTTACGTATACAATGCAATACAGTGCATTAGCGTTTGAAGTTTAAAGCACATTGTTTTTTTCATATCCTACTGTCTGCACCGCAGCTCCGTTGACCGCACTTATTATATCTGTGCCTGGGGGAGGTTTGCCCTGGCGGCAAGATTATGGGGCGCCACGGTGGCGCGAGATATTATCTCCCCCGCCGGGTATGCAGGAGGTGATGGGTGCGATCCCAACCCCGACGATGCCTCCGGTTTTCCCCTCGACCTTTAGAAATCGACAGAGTATTTGGCTGCTTGGAATTTCCACGTGTTAAGCCACGAACATTGAGCTATCATTTGTGGCCATGTCGCTTTTGAAAAAGAGATCTGTAGCTTGGTGGGCATTGGTTAAATACAAATTTGTTGATGGTTTCATATTTATTTTGAAAGTTTATGTTCATATGGAAATGTATGTGTGAGACTGCGCCGTTACGGACATGATGTGTGAATATTGCATGGGTTAAATGGGCTGCTCTGGTGCCACGTTACAACTATGGTGGCATTGAATAAGCCCAACTGAAAACTCATTAGTTTGAAAACTCATTTCTTCGAAACTGCTTTTTGTGTTTAGTTTGCGGTCCTTCCCCCGCACCTCCGATCAGCACGGTTGGCTACGTACGGTGCAAAGGAAGTTCAACAAACCGTACATACCCGCAACTCATTCCTGCAGTCGCAAAAAGTAGTCGCTTCTGATTCGCAGTCGATCCATCGACCGAGTCAGCTGATCGTCTCAGCTGTAATTTAATGCTGTCAGCGACGGTAGTAGTGCCCCAGGTAATCTCTCGCAGCAGGAGGAGGAGGCTGTGTGGTGGGTGGTCATCCCCCAAGTGGGGGGGGGGGGGGCAGGGGTAGAAGTTGCTTTAATCCTTGACCTTGAATCGGTCAAAAGTGGGGGCTGGGCAGTTGTTTTCACGCGGAGAAGCTGCTCAGTCGTCTCGCCAACACAAAGTTCAAGTGAAAGTTCAGCAACGGCTCACGTCCTGTCATCTCCTTGTCACCTCCCTGAGCGGCGCAGGAGTAGAACATGCGAGAGTTGGGTGTTTTTTTTTTACTTGACGGGACTGCTAAGTTAGGACGTGTTATTTATATATACACACGCGTATAATATTATTAGGAAGCCACTGGAGCTATGCACTTTTAAATCGAGATTGAAAAACTCATTCCTTGAGGAAAGCTTTTTTTGCGTTTAGTTTCCCCCCCCCTCACCTCCGATTTAGCACGGTTGGCTATGTCCAGGTGTGAAACGAGTTCAACGTACTCGCGTATAAATAACCACCTGCACGCCGCGTACGCATTCCTGAATCGAATATGTGCTAGCGGCACAGCACAGCTTAGCGGGGAAAACGTTGTATTAAAAAAAAACACGTCACATCACCGCCCTGACCGATTGGCCAGGCACAGCCAGTGTAGCATTTGCACGCGATTGCAACCGTCGCGCTGCAACAGACCTTCGCGAATGCGACCTTTTCGCACATCCACCCGACAGGTACCTCGGTCGCGAGCGAGGGTCGCACGGCGCGACGTCGTGCCGCACGTTGGAATCTTTTCGCGCGCAGCCAAAGCAACGTCGCGAGGTTTCCCCTCCGCTTTTCGCAAACCAGCTTTTTTAAGTAAGCTTATTTCACGGTGTGCTGTTCCGTGGATTTTTATTTTCTTAAAAAAACATTTTCATTGCTTTCATTTATTTTGAGACAAGCTCTACGAACGAGTCCCGTCGGGTCGATGGCGTAAATACCCAGAAATTTCCATAAAGTTGGCCCTGGCTGAGAGAGGAGAGAGAGAGGGCCCCCCCCCCCCCCCCCCCCGCAAAACGGCGGCGACAATGGCTCCATGGCGAGAGCGTGGCAGGAATGCGCCCGGCCCTTGTTGCGTTGGGGCCACGCGGGTAGAGGCTGGGAGCGCGCGCGCTCGCTAGCGCACGCGCGGGCCCCCTCCGTGCACCGGTAGTAGCAGATGGCTGCTAATGCGTCACAGATGGCGTCTCATTAAGCATACAAACCCAAAGTGGTTAATCTAATGAGCGGGATCCCCGCGGGGGTAATGTGCAGAGGCAAAAAAACGGAAATTCACAAAAGTATTTGACCATGCAACAGCGTTTCCTTTGTGCTCTTCAGTGTGTGTTTATTTATTTATTTGTGGGGTGGGGGGGGCTGAGGAATTTAATCAGGTAATCGCCAAAAAGGATGCCTCTGTCACACCACCGCCACCTTGCAGGCGAATCGTTTCAAACGCTCGCTCAACGCTGCCCTCAAACGTGAATGTTTGAAGACCCGCCTGCCACCGTGCGCGGCGGGTTTCCGGGCCGCACGGTTAATTGGCTGGCCGGGGCGTTACCCTCACCAGCGTGCGGCGGCAGTGGCGGATTGAGAAAGACGTGGGAATGTGAGGAAAGCAACGGGCTAATTTGACGCGTGGTACCTTTCGTGAAAACTGAAGCAAATGGGACTTGTACCAGTTTTTGGTTTGTTACGTGAATTCTAACTTTGCCGACGGCACAAAGTGGCCAGAAATTAAGGGCGCTCGTGACGGTATAGTGGATGTAAAGACATTATCGGCGAAAATAAATTATCGGCGTACAGAGGATCAAACTTTATATATATGAATATAATAACAGAACTTGTGATCGAACAGCATTTCTGATGCTGTGCAACAGTGCTGATATTCTTTGTGCTTAGTCTCAGTACCTTTACATTTTTTTTTTATATTCCAAATTGGGATGTTTGGTATTGGCCAAACATCCCAATTCTGAAACTTTGACTTGAAATTCGCTCGAAGGGACTCATACACAGCAGCAACATTGCCCCCCCCCCCCCCCCCACAGGCATATCTGCAGGGTCACCGCATCGTCACTCGCGCTTTCAGATGCGCTTCTGCGGCCGTCTGGAACGCTCTTCCTCCCGATATTAGGAAGCGGCTGGGAGCTATGGAACTTTTAAATCATCTAGATTGGTAACGCATTTGTTTAGCACGGTTTTTCGTGTTTAGTTTGTTGTCCTGCTCCCCGCACCTCCGATCAGCACGGTTGGCTACGTACGTTCGACGTACACACAGAGACTCGCACAGAAACCTATCCAGACTCATAGAGACCCATAGAGACACGTAGCCCAGTACGGTGCGAAAGTTCAACATACATACATCGACTCACAGTTTGTTGTCCTTCCCCTGCACTTCCGATTAGCAAAACTTAAACCTGCTGATGACCTATCTGCGAGCTGCACCGCAGTGGTCTGCAGCGGGTAGTGAATTCTGTTGCGCGATTAACCCGCTCTGGCGGCGACGTAATTGGCGGGGGCACTTGATCTCCACCGTCTGACTCGCTTTTGATGTTTTAATTTGCCCGCTTTAAACCCCCTCTTTACAGTGATTTTTTTAACGTAATTATCGCCCGTTACAAATGACGGTGGACGTGGAGCCAAGCAACAACGTACGTAAGGTCATGACAATGCCGGACGCGTTATTCGTGGGTGGCTG